CATCGTCTCGGTGAATATTAACCAGCAATCACTTTGCCTACGGCGACTAACTAATTGTTAAATGTAGAATAATAAATTGAAATGCTAGTGTAAGATCCATTAAACATATATTTTCTTTTTAACCATTGACGTCCCTGACGCATTGAACTAAAGAGAGACTCCATTTATAAATAAGGCCCAAAACACCCGAAATCTAGGGTCTTTTATTCTTACCGCTTCGGTGTTCTTTGGAGAAAGTAAAGAACAATTGTATACGTACATTGCACGCTGCTAGTGAGACGAAACAATTATGTTGGAAAGTCTAATGGCAATAACAGAAGGCTTAAGAAATGTGTATTACTAGTAGCTATACGTCTTGGTTATATTATTTGTATAATTTGTATAAAATATGCACTTGGTAAAAGTCATAAAATATGCACAGCTAAATAAACGACGAATTGTTTCCTTCATGCATTTTAAAGCAACTACTTCAAAAAAAAAATAAAATTTACGTCTGTCCCGAGAGAAAACTCCAGTCGTAATGCCCCAGAAGGTTTTGCATAAATTTCGAATGCTCGAGGAGTTTAATGTATCGATGTTTCAAAAATAATCGCCGACATTTATTGAAATGTACATGCTCTGGGAGAATATCAATGAGTGAAAGGAAAATAGGAAACAGCTCCAATGCAATTAAGTTATCCGCAAACCCCTCAAAACATCTGCAAGATCTTGAATTATATCCATTTAAATTTACATCTTGTTGTTTTCCATACCTGTTGTTCTTTTTTCAGAATTCGAATCGCTTTCCAGTTTAGGATTTTCACCAAAAATTGCTGCGCATAGGAGAAGCACAATACATAGTGTTTTTGTGAATACCCGCATTTTGTCGCTTTTGATATTTTCAAACGACAAAATTAAATAGTTGCCGTCCTTCAGCCAAGAAGAAAACACATCGAATGTTTCATGTAATGATTTAACATCTTTATGTAATAGATTGTCTGATATTTTGCTGGTTCGAAGCAGGTTGCCCATTATCAATACCTGTACTAGTTTGTGACAGCCATAACAAACGTGCTGGAGCAATAGAGTTTCTAGATATCAAGCATTCATTTCTTGAAATTATTCTAATTTGTAATATTTTCTTACCATCTACTATTTAATAACAATATTTTTTGTGAATAGCATTTTGTCCCATCGAATGATTTCTCTGATGATTTAACATTCTTAATTATAAGATTGTTTGATATTTTGCTCGTCTTTTCGTCATCCTTCTCCTCTGCTCTTCCGGAAATGGAAAGCAGGAGAAGAAGAAGGGTTGAACATATGGAAAAAATTCACGCAGATAAACAACTTTATATTAAAGCAATTAAGTCACAAAGGAAGCATTCTCAAAGCATGTGTGTACAAAAAATACTGCAACCCTAACGGCTGAAAAACAATTATATTTCTGAATTCTTGAACTAAATAATTGGTGACGTTTTATTTCGTTTAAAAATATTCTAAGACATCGTCTCGGTGAATATTAACCAGCAATCACTTTGCCTACGGCGACTAACTAATTGTTAAATGTAGAATAATAAATTGAAATGCTAGTGTAAGATCCATTAAACATATATCTTCTTTTTAACCATTGACGTCCCTGACGCATTGAACTAAAGGGAGACTCCATTCATAAATAAGGCCCAAAACACCCGAAAACTAGGGTCTTTTATTCTTACCGCTTCGGTGTTCTTTGGAGATAGTAAAGAACAATTGTATACGTACATTGCACGCTGCTAGTGAGACGAAACAATTATGTTGGAAAGTCTAATGGCAATAACAGAAGGCTTAAGAAATGTGTCTTACTAGTACGTCTTGGTTATATTATTTGTGAAATTTGAATAAAATATGCACTTGGCGAAAGTCATAAAATATGCACAGGTTAATAAACGGCCAATTGTTTCCATTATGCATTTTAAAGCAACTACTTTGAAAAAATAAACAAATTTTACATCTGTCCCGAGAGAAAACTCCAGTCGTAATGCCCAGGTTTTGCATGAATTTCGAATGCTCGAGCAGTTTGATGTTTCAAAAATAATCACCGACATTTATTGAAATGTAAATGCTCTGGGAAAATATCAATGAGTGAAAGGAAAATAGGAAACAGCTCCTATGGAATTAAGTTATCCGCAAACCCCTCAAAACATCTGCAAGATCTTGAATTATAGCTATTTAAATTTACATCTTGTTGTTTTCCATACCTGTTGTTCTTTTTTCAGAATTCGAATCGCTTTCCAGTTTAGGATTTTCACCAAAAATTGCTGCGCATTGGAGAAGCACAATACATATTGTTTTTGTGAATAACCGCATTTTGTGGCTTTTGATGTTTTCAAACGACAAATTTAAATACTTGCCGTCCTTCAGCCAAGACGAAAACACATCGAATATTTCCTGTAATGATTTAACATCTTTATGTAATAGATTGTCTGATATTTTGCTGGTTCAAAGCAGGTTGGCCATTATCAGTACCTGTACTAGTTTGTGACAGCCATAACAAACGTGCTGGAGCAATAGAGTTTTAAGATATCAGCCATTTATTTCTTGAAATTATTCTAATTTGTAATATTTTCCTATACCATCTACTATTTAATAAAAATATTTTTGTGAATAGCATTTTGTCGAATCGAATGATTTCTCTGATGATTTAACATTCTTAATTATAAGATTGTTTGATATTTTGCGGGTTCAAAGCAGGTTGCCCATTATCAGTGCCTGTACTAGTTTGTGACAGCAATAACCACCGTGCTCGCTGGAGCAATAGAGTTTCTAGATATCAGTCATTCATTTCTTGAAATTATTCTAATTTGTAATATTTTCTTACAATCTAGAATTTAATAATATTTATTGTATAAAGAATAATGAAATACAGAAAGGTATAGAGAAAAAAAACATTATTATATGAAGTACTGTATAATAATTTTCAATTTAATTGTGGTCGCAAAGTTTCTATATGAGGTTAATCTTATTTCCGCGAAATTGATAATCTTCGAATTGTTATATTTATCTTCCTCTCTTATGCAGTAAATTCTTAGTATTTGAGCTACAGTCACCCTCCATCACATCGTAAATTTAAACGTACTTGACTGTTTGTAATGTAATAATTCATATATCAACTTCCAGCTTTTGTTATACATATACAAGGAGAGTTTAACTTATTTACAGAAAATTTGGACTTACGAAGATTCTGTGATATGTCAAAATATAACCATTTAAAGTTACATCTCTGTGTTGTTCTTCATACCTGTTGTTCTTTTGTCAGAATTCGAATCGTTTTCCAGTTTAGTATTTTCGCCAAACATTGTTGCGCATTGGAGTAGCACAATACATAATGTTTTTGTGAATACCATTTTGTCACTTTTGATGTTTTCAAAAGACGAATTTAAATAGTTGTCATTCAGCGAAAAAGAAAACGCATCGAACAATTCCTGTGATGATTTAACATCTCTATGTATAAGATTGTTTGATATTTTGCTGGTGCAAAGCAGGTTGCCCATTATCATTACCAGAACTAGTTTGAGACAGCCATAAACACCGTGCTCTCTGAAGTGATATAATTTCTACAAATTAATCCAATAATTTTTTGAAATCATTATAATTTTAATATTTTCTTACAATCAAGTATCCAAAACCAATCCAACACCCTGAAATTTACCCTCAACGAAGACAAATGTAAAGAGATGCGAATACAATTTAGCAGATACAACACTAATTACCAGCAGCTTCCCCTAGTGACAATCAACGTTAAACAGGTAGACTTGGTCTTCCAAAGTAAAGTTTTGGGTTTGACTATTAGTAGCGACCTTAAGTGGAATAGTCATATTGATAATATTGTTAAAAAGGCATCCAAGAGATTGTACTTTTTGCGACAATTGAAATGTGCCAAAGTATCTACCACTGAGACGATGTGTTTCTACTGCACTTGTATCCGACCAATTGTCGAATCCGCATCTCCTGTCTTTCATTATGGAATTCCCATATATCTGTGTAAGGACATTGAAAGAATTCAGCGACGAGCCATGAAAATCATATTTCCCACCAAATCATATGCCGAAGCGCTCTCCCATTCTAAACGTCTAACTCTTGAAGAGAGAAGTCAAATTGCGTGTGATAAACTCTTCAAAGAAATAATGGAAGATAAAAATCACAAATTGCACCCACTCCTACCAGACCCGAATACTGACGTAGCGTATTGCCTGAGAACTTCGAAAACTTTTAAAATTCCTAAATGCAAGACTGAACGATTTAAAAAGTCTTTTATAATTGCTGGTAGTTCTAATAATGAAAGCAGCAGTCACTGAGGATTTTATATATTTCGAAAATAACTGTTAATTTTAACTGTAATTATATCTTCTTAATTAAATACATTAATAGATAGTATTATTAATTGAAATAGATAGTTTTATTAACTTAAAGTTACAATTCTACCAACTCATTAAGCACATCCGGGTTACCATGAGATGCGCACGCACCGTCGTGGGTCAGTGCATTTGTTATTGTCGTGGTGTTAGGACGTGATTTTTCATCTTCGCTTGTTGTCTGCTTGATTTGATTTTCTTGTCAATTCACGCGTTTACGGTAAGTATTGAATTATATTCGAAGATAATTTTCCTACTTTTTTTGGACGAGTTTCCACTAAAGTTTGTTGAGATTGTGTCTTGGTGACGTGTCACGGCACTAATACAGGTTTACTACATTTATATTTGATATAACAAATATACGTTTAGCTAGCCAAGACGTGTCTTGGCCTATAATATAATTGTGCAGTGAATTGTGCATAATCAGAATTCTGTATTGTTGTTTACACCGTTAAATTAAACATGTGCGACAAAGATTGCCAAATAACTGGGAATAAATCTGCTTCCAAACAAGCTAGAGGTAGTGACGAGATCACTTCACCTACGATTAAGAACATTTAGCTGACATTAAAGCGGCTATGACTGAGATGATGTCCAGTTTTAAGACTGAACTTTTAAGTCACGTTAATGCGTCGATATCTCGGGTTTATCAAGACTTTGAGCAAGCGGCAGATCAAGAAGTTCAGGACGACAGTGTTAGTGTCCTTGAAGCTGACCCATTGCCAGAACACATGCAGCGAGGATAATCTCGTTGATAAAATCGCAAACTTTGCCAAAGACAAGGGTTCACAATCGCAAACAGATTTGAGCGAGAATACAGTTTTTAAAACCTTTGTCGAACAGTTCGCTCCGGGTGAGCAAACAGGACCGGCAATTGACCATGACCTTGCCACAATCGTCAACGAATTGTTGACTGAGAAGTTAACAAAAGAGAAACTTGAACCAGTTCAAGATAAGTATTTAAAGCCAGAAAATTGCGAGAATTTAGTCGCACCAAAAATTAATAAACCCATATGGCAACAGCTTAAACAGGAGACTAAGAATACCGATTCTGCATTCCAAAAAATTCAACAATTGTCATTGTCTTCGCTGTATGCCGTCTTGCAGGTTTGTATAATAACCTTTCCAGCAAGCAAAATATTGAGGATAGTGTAATGATGCTTGCACGTTCAATAGTGCTTTCACTAGCAGCAAATCGAGACTTAAATTTAAAACGGCGAGATTTACTTCGCTCGGATTTGAATAAACAGTACGCTGCTTTATGTAATCCATCTACTCCAGTGTCAAAATATCTTTTTGGGGATGACCTAAATAAGGAGATGGAAGATCTTTCAAAAGCTAGCAAGCTCACAAAGAAATTTACGCCTAGTCAACGTATGGAACCGTATCGTCGACCAGTTGGGCGCGCCTCAAACTATGTACCTTCTCGTTCGAATAACTACAGGGGTCGTGGCTCGAGACTTGGTTCAGGTGCTTTTTTAGGGTTCGGCCGAGGTCAATTCCTAAATTATCAGCGGAACAATCAGAGACAGTCCCAGAAATAGAAAATCAGGTAATCATGAATGTATACAAAGTTCGGTTATTAAATTTAATTTAATTCAAACTCAAGCCACATTTACAGGTGGCAGGTTGAGCAAATTTTACGATGTATGGAAAAGACTAACATCTGATCAATTTATCTTGGATGCAATTTCTCATTGTCATATTGATTTTGAGACTGAGCATTTGGCTAATACCAGTGCAGTGAGACCACAGTGTCATTTTACTCATACCGAGCAATTGATTCTAGATGTGGAAATTGCTAAGCTTTTGAACAAGGAATTTATAAAACCTTCTCAAAATGAGAGTATGCAATTTATTTCTCCTATCTTCACTACGCCTAAAAAGGATGGCTCGCATCGCGTTATTTTTAATTTGAAATTGTTAAATAAGTCTGTAACATACTATCATTTTAAAATGGACACTTTAAAAACAACAATACGACTTATGACTCCTTGTTGTTTTATGACGTCAATTGATCTCAAAGATGCATATTATTCAGTTCCTATCGCAGTTTTATATCTAAAATTTATCTAAAATTTTTGTGGCGAGATCAATTATACGTTTTTACTTGTCTTCCTATGGGGCTTACCAGCAGTCCTAGGATATTTACCAAAATTTGGAAGCCAGCCAATTCATTTCTCTCATAAGGGTAAAGCATTTATAATTCGGGAAGTATAGCGTCCTTAATTGGATCGCTAATTTCAAGTTGCCCAGGGGTCGGATATGGCCACCTTCATTACCGCAATATAGAGCGGGATAACATAAATGCTTTAAAGTCACAGAAGGGCAATTTTGAAGCTAAAATGTCCTTGTCGCATGAAAGTCTAGAAGATCTTGCATGGTGGATACAAAATGTTAAGTTTCAACATCGGAATATCCCAAATGGTTCCCCAAACACGGTTCTTTTTACAGATTACTTTTTACAGGGCGTAAATTCAAGATGGTAGGTGTACAAATGGGATATGGACAGCATCAGAAGCCGCAATGCATATAAATATATTGGAATTATTAGCAGTAAAATTTTCTTTAATGTCTCTTCTAGCTGATCAGACTAATACTCATATCCGAGTCATGTCCGATAATACAACAGTTGTTTGTTACATTAATGACATGGGGGGTTCTAAGTCAACTAAATGTGATCGTTTGTCCAAAGCCATTTGGTATTGGCCAATAGATCGAAACATATGGCTTTCAGCAACGCATGTGCCAGGGGCACAAAATGTAAGTGCTGACGAACTTTCCCGACATTTGAACTTGCAATTAGAATGGCAAGTGTCAACTTCTGTATTTCATAAAATTGCTGCATGTTTTGGATTCCCTAAAATTGATTGATTTGCAAGTTGGATAACTGCATTGCTTCCTGATTATGTTTCTTGGAAACCTGATCCTATGGCGAACTATATAGATGCCTTTAAAATCAATTGGAAACAGTTTTCATTTTATGCGTTTCCACCTTTTTGTCTTATTTCTAGGTGTGTTCAGAAAATTGTGCAGGAGCAAGCAACGGGGATACTAGTTATTCCGTTGTGGCGAATTACTCAAGCCTATTTCACAAGCGTATTGAATTTGTTAATCGAGACACCAAGGATATTCAAGACGAATCTGGTACATCCAGTTTGGACCAGTCCACATCCTCTGCATCAGAGTTTGGTATTGATGGTATGCAAATTATCAGGTATTCCTTGCATGAGCGCAACATTTCGCCGGAGATTGCCAATATTATTATGCTCTCGCGGCGAAATTCTACACACAAACAGTACCGAGTTTACATCAACAAATGGGTACACTTTTGTAGCGAAAAATCGTTTGATCCGGTGCATCCCACTGTGAATACGCTTTTGGCATTCTTACATCAGCTTCATGAGAATAACCTCGGTTATTCTGGCTTGAATACTGCTCGTTCGGCGGTTTCTAATATTGATGAAAATTCAGTTCATACAAAAATGCATACACCGGTTGGTAAACACCGATTAGTATGTCTTTACCTTAAAGGAATATTTAATAAACTGAAGCCTATACCGAAGTTTAATAACATTTGGTCGGTGGATATTGTACTGGAGCATCTTAGTGTGTTGTGGCCTTTGGATGAACTTACTCGTAAGGCTAGTACATTGAAATTGGTCAATATGTTAATTGTGTTGACGACAGGTCAGCGGTGCCAAACGCTAACCTTCATGGATATTTCTGATAAATATATGACCAAGAATGAATAGTGTTTCAGTTTTTCGTTGACAGAACATATTAATTAAACAAAACAGACCGGGGAGTGTGTTTGGCAATGTGACTTTGTATAAATATCCAGATAAAAAGTTGTGTGTATATGAAACATTGCAATTTTATCTGCAAGCAACCGAGGTTTGTAGAAATTCCAGTAGTCTGTTAGTCTCGTATATCAAGCCTTTTAATCAATAATAGATAGCATAATTAACTTAAACTTTTCTTTTGTAAATTTTAACCGTTGTAATTCAGCCTCTTGGCTGCAAGATCGGTTTTTGAATAAATAATCAATAAATAATCAATAATAAATAATCAATATTAGTTAAGTAATAGAAAACGAGTCGCGTGCGTTTATGGTGTGATAATGGGAAATGGGAAACAATCCTACTTCTGAGATACCTGATCTACAAATTTCATCTAAAGGCGTCTTAAAACAACTCCTTTCTTTAAAAACAAACAAGGCAAGTGGCCCTGATGATATCCCTGCCTGGTTTTTAAAAGAGAATGCCTATGAAATAGCGCCAATCTGAGCAAACATATTCCAAGCCTCTATAACCGAAAGAGTTGTGCCCAAGCGATGCAAATGTTGTTGAAGTTTTTAAGAACGGTAATAAGCTTGATCCAGCCAATTATAGACCAGTATCCTTGACTTGTATTTCATGTAAAATTCTGGAACATATAATTCACAGTCATGTAATGAAACACTTAGAGAAATTTAATATTCTGTCGGACGTTCAGCATGGATTTCGGGCAAAGAGATCGACAGAGACGCAATTAATCCTAACCATCCACGACATGGCCAGAGCGATTAACGGGAATAAATCAGTGCATGCTGTAGTTTTAGATTTTGGGAAAGCATTTGATAAGGTCCCTCATCAAAGTCTACTACAGAAATTATGGTATTATGGGATACATGGTTCGTTATTCAACTGGTTTGAATCGTTTCTTCAAGAACGCTTCCAAACGGTTGTTTGCGAGGGTAAATCATCTCAACCAGTTCCTGTTACGTCTGGAGTGCCACAAGTCACGGTCCTGGGACCATTGTTGTTCCACGTGTATATTAACGACTTACCCGATGGTCTTTCTTCCAATGTCAGGCTTTTCGCAGATGATGCGTTAGTGTATGGAATTATTGTGGGAGGTACTGAATGCCAACAGCTTCAAAATGATCTAATTAAGCTGGAACAATGGCAGTTGAAATGGCAAATGGAGTTTAACCCGACGAAATGCAAAGTCATACGTATCTCAACTAAAAAATCTGAACGAAATGAGATTTATATGTTCTGCGGTAAGCAATTGGAGCAAGTTACATCTATTTTATACCTAGGACTGACTGTTACCGATAAGTTAAGATGGTCAGATCATATTTCTGAGATTTCAAACAAAGCTGGAAAAACCCTGGGTATGATTAAACGAAATGTTTGGGTTTGTCCAAAGGATGTGAAGGAACCTCAGGTATGTTAATGACTGGGTCAAGTTTCACAGTGAGCATTAATTCATGAAAAATAAAAGAAAAATTATTTACAACGATTTTAAGATAAATTGA